TCTCACTGAGAAATTCGGTGAATTATGCAAGTTACAGACAATAGCACATCTCATTTGGGCCACCCTGTATATTTTCCGCTCGTATTCGCCTACAATACCACAACATGCGCGACGCACTACGCTGGTCTGCTAGAGAGATGATGAGCTCGTCCGGTACCTCAAGAGTGAGTGCTTGTCAGGAGTTCGTAACTGCTGGGGGACTTTACTCGGGTGACAAGGCGCCCGTGGTCGACCTGAAACCTCGCTTCGATGTGGATGCTGTTAAAGCAAGTACTGTGAAGGTTCTTACCCTCACAGCTGTCGTACTGGTGTTATTATCAGGACCGTGGGGAGATGGTTATGATCCGGAAACTGGGGATGACATACTGAGCTTCGAGGTAACACTAGGGATGAGGGCGTACACGGCTAGAACTCAAATTTTATATGAACCCAGTGCGAGCTAATATTCTCAGGGAGTGTTCCTGTTTAGTTCCTGGCTCAGTAGAGATGCTTACTCGAGGGAAGAGGAAGGAGGATTGGTCGTTCCGGTTTGGATATTCTGATGGAGTGTAAGGACTATACTAGAGAGTAGATATAATTTTCGGCGGTCTAGGTGTATAGATTGGAATTCCTTGGAGTTTGAAGTACCCGAAGATGTACTCATCACAGATGACGGAGATGAGGAGCTGGGGCTGTGGGCACCACCGGAGGTAGTGCATGAGATCGTCTCGTCATAGTATGCACATGGTCAACTACATGTGTTGGTAAAAATATGGAAAATATGAGGAAAAAATTCGAGAAATTATGAATTTCCATAATGTAGTGAGAAAACTCATGGGCTCAGTCGAGGAAAGCAAACATTTACTCCTACACTGCAAAATGCTGGTGGTTTATAATAGGTTCTCTGTCCGCCCTGGATGAAGAACAGATTTACTTACTACACCTCAGAGCTGTTGTCCTACGATATTGGACGGCCTAGTCTTAATGGCCAACCTGATGCTAGCGGTCAGGGCACCCCTCCAGAGGGCAAGATAGGACCTTTTACGAGAAGGAAGAGATGTAAGTGCGTGTATGTTACGATAAAACCACTGGAAGATGGTAGCTTCCGTAGTTGCTTCTGATCTCTCTCATGTGAATTCAGTACCGTCTTCGTATCGCCCAACATCTGGGTCTATGTTACTACTAAAGGGGATGGTGACACCGAACAGGAAGGGTAGTATTTCTACCCCTGTGACACCAGGGAGTGTCACCCCTGCTACGGTAAGAAGGGATCATCCTTCATACCTTTATCCATCTTGGTGTAGAGTAAAGCAACGCCGAGGGCAGTCACGGCAAGTGGTGGGGGCAAGTCCCCTTCCGGCACCCCGAGCCGAACAGAGGCTAGTATGGCCGCTCTGAAGGAGAAGTTAGCAGGATTTCAAGTAAGGCTTTTGAAGTGGTAGATTATTTTCTGATATTGACAACCTTTGATATTATTCAACTCTAGTTTAATATCGGAGTTTCATAACCCGTTTTACGTGGAGTGGCGTAATACTCTGTGAAAACCGCAATATTCGCGGTGATATGCAGTAGTCGTGAAATATGTTTCTGATGTCACGGCCTGTGAAATTCCATTAATTTTGGGGATCCTAAATATTATTTCGAATAATACTCCTTACTACTTGTGCATTCAGGCGAAGGCGAAAGCGGCCGCGGTGACTGCATCTCCGCCGACACAGACTGGCCTCGTGAAGGGAAGCACAGAGGGTTTACGGCCGTTGAATACGAGCCCGTGGGCGCCTCCTCACCCTCCTAGCAAGTCAACAACCCCCAATGACCAAGTCTTTAGAACCCCAACTGAATGGCAACAGCGGTCCTCCCCGCGTGAGGAGCAGCAGCAGCAGATTTTGGGGAGTAATTCAAAACGCCCGGTCGGGAGCTCAAGTCGGAATCGACGAGTGGACCGGACCGACTCTGATAAACGGCGGAGGACAGAGAGGCGCTCTAGAGATTCACCGAGATCCCGGGAGTCTTCGGTGAAGTCTGATATCAGTGAACCACTTGAGAGGGAGTCCCGGGATGATGTTATGATGGCTGATGATTTGGACATATCTCCAAGAGCACGGCTATCAGTTCGGGATAGGAGGAATGAAGGAATGAGGATCGGCCGAAGGAGGGTGGTCGATGTCGAGGCGGTTGGGACTATGGCTCGGGCGGCTGCTGCTGAGGCAGCGTATAGCAGTTCGAGGAGTGCTGCTACTATGCCCTCTGCATCGCTCGAGAGATCTACAAGGGCTTTTGGTAAAGGGTTGCGTGGTCGGGAGAGGTAGGAAGGGAGGGAGGAGTTAAACGAATGTCGTAGAAATACGTGTGGGGTTGTCGTTCGGAAACCGAGCTGGTTTGACAATCTTGAAGTTTCAATTTCAAGATTTTCTCTGTGTTTTTCATATACAATGTATTTCCTCGATTGTAGTCATCATATTAGTGTTGTGCTTTCAGGTCGGGATCTCCGGCTTCAAGTTTCCGACTTCATGCCGCGCGACGACCGAGGACGAGTGGTCCGCGGAATGCCTTTGATACGGGTGGGCCGCGGAACGCCTTGGATGCAGCAGCAGCAGCTCCGATACGAGAGCAGCAGCAGCATCATCATCATCGCCACCGGGAAGGGGAGCAGGGAGGGAATAGGTCCATGCTGGGGGTGGAGAAATTGTCACCACCGAGCAGTAGTAGCGACAGTCCGATGCCATCGTTCCCGCCCCCTCCACCGGGCATAATACCGAGGGCAGCTAAAGCTAGTCATAGGACGATGCATCGGCCGAAGTCGTTTCCACCTCCTCCTGGTCTCACCGTACGTCACGAGAATAGAGGGCGACCAGGGGGGCGTATGGGAGGTGGCGGGGGTGGCCCTAGGAGTATGTTTGGCGCAGCGATGCAATCTGTACTTCGACAGAGTGGCGGTGGTGGTGAACGGCGTTGATGATGATGAGGATAGGAGTAGTACCATAAGTAGCGTAGATTTTACGTCGTAGAACCTCGTCGTCGGGGTATAGTATACTTTGCTTAAAAACGTTAAAGTCTAGATGACAAGTAAGATTGGGGAAGCAGTGAGTTTTGTGTTAAGCAGTTGCCACTCTATGGATGGGGTTCTCAGTATTTCATTGGCTCACTAGAAATGAGCACAGATGAGGAGTGGCTACAGATTACGACACTACCATATCTAGTGACTTCGATAGGCCCGGTGGCGAGCTGGTCGGTGGATGACTATGTAGCGGTCGCTACTGAGAAGGTGGTCTATGTATTGGATGCTACGGTAGTAACAATGAGGGGGGTATCCTACGCAAAATCGTACGCTCAAAAGTATGTGTTGAAGACTTATAAAAATCAAAGCACTTATAGTTTTAGTTAGTGTACTCCTGTAGTAATAACAGGTTACTGAGGCAGGCGTACAAGAGACGGCGTTGTGTCTTCGAAGACGTACAGTTTACAATTCCCTTGCTATGGGTCTATATTCGATTCCATGCTTTTTTGGAGGATGTACATATCGTATTCATTTAGCGTGTGAATAAATTTTCCCCCTTGTGTAGGCTTTCTTAGAAGGGACGACTCGATCAGCACTAGCGGCTGCAGGGGTGACTGGTCCGGTACGACTCTTGAAAGGACAAATAACTCCTTCAAGGCAGATTACTGGTGGGGAATTTCAAGCTAAGAGATTAAAATTGGAAAATGGGGTAATACTTCCGTGAGGATATGTCGCATAATGGAGTTTCACAATCCGTTTTACGTGAAGTGGCCAAATACTGTGTGAAAACGCAGTGATATGCAGTAGTCGTGAAACATGTGTTTTTCATATCACTAGGGTGAAACTCCAATGATTATATGGCGCGGACCGCGCTGATAGTAGCTTGAGTGATAGAGTGTGTATACTCACTGGAATTTTTTTTGTAGAATTTCTTGAAGACTTGTACCCAAATTCGTCATCAGAGTGATTGTTATTATAGGAGGAGGAGTTCCATGCTGCAAAGTTGTTATCTCGTCGAAGAGGCTCCGACAAGGAAGTGAAGTTGAAGGCTATGGCGTTGCTGGAAGGAGGCATTAAGGCGGCGACCAATAGGTCTAGGGACCATCCTGAGCCGGTGAAGAGGGTATCTACAGCAGGAGGACAGAGCAAGAGGAAGAAGAAAACTGATAAGAAGTCAACGAATAGTAGGAAGAAGTCTGCGTCTACGAAGAGGAATGCCCAGCAGCCGAAAAGCAAAGTAATCTCGGGCGACCAGGGGGCTCTTGTCTGATCGTCATTGATGGAGTTTCATCCGTTTTACGCGAAGTGGCGTAAAAGCACGGTATGAAGTGAAGTCACGAAACCACTTCGGGGATCACACAGCAAGAGTCATGCAATATCACGTGAAACGTGATATGTGTTTTACGCGTGAGTAACTGTATCGATGTATTTTTCGCGAAGTGAAATGTGGAATGTTTTCTTTCATATCAGGGGTTATATAAACACCAGTATTGCTCGACACGTTTCTCCGTTATATGAATTCGATAGTGTGTATTGGCCTTATGATATTACTCATCGTCATGTGTGTGTTTACATGTAGGCCAAGAAGAGGCGTAGTATTGTGAGGAGTGATTCGGAGTCTGAGGAGGATGATGATGATGATTCTGATTTCCACATGGAATCAGAACCTGAATCGTCATCCTCTGATGATGATGATGCCAGTGGATTGGTACCAGAAAACTCGGAAGGTAGTGTTGGGAGTCATAGGGTAATCTGTATAGCTTTCTGGTGAGGTGGAAGAACGTGCTCTGAAATTTGCCATCGTGATGGTGTCGGTCGGATCTCTACTACAGTGCATGGGAGGCTGCGTTTGATTGATGAGAATCGATCTGAAACTATATCGCAGAAACAATGTAAACATTGCTATGAACATGTGGTGTGATAAAAGTAACCTTTCGAGACTATGATAGCGACAAAGTTGTTCACTATCATTAATCCCGGAATAGAAAATGCACATTCTTCACATTTGCATAGTATCAAATGTACATCGTTAATGATTCAGTTCAGCGACAATTCTCCATTTGCGATTTGTTGTTGTTGGTTTATTCAGCCGATGACTTGAGTCCCTCTCGTCCCCATCAGAGAGGCTCTACGGGGAGCAACAGTAGTGCCCCTGGTATACCCCTGGGGGCCTCCAATCTACTCGGTCAGTGTGGAGGACCTGCTGGGGTTCAGGACTTGTGGGTTGGCGATGTTCAACGTGTTGCGGGCGAGAACTCGGTAAGGGTATTTGACAGCAGTGTGAGGGGAAAATATGCACATGTGTTGGCCACAATATGAAAATTCTGAGGAAATTTTGGGGAATTCTCGTTGATTTCTGTACACTTCTACCCGAAAACTTCTATAGTGAGTGAGAAAATTCCCGAGTTCACCTGATGAAAGCGAACATATATTCCTCCAACACTCCTCAACCGTACCGCGACCCTTGAGGGCCTCTCTCAGTCTACCCAAGCGGATATCCTCACCCTATTACAACAGCATTACTCTGTGATGAGTACCAGCCCCAAGTCGGTACACTGGTCCCCTGGCTATGCATGTGGTCAGGGTAAGGGTCCCAGGCAAAAGGGCTTCGGTGGAAGCAGTCGAGTCAGGTTGTATACTGGCCCTAGTTCCTCGCTTCGCCTTCGTAGTCCAGCTATTTGTCCTCTCTGAGCATTCTACTGCAGCAAATGGTATGCTATGGTTTGATCTCATGTGAATTCAAGAAGGAGTGGTAATCAGGTCCGGATTGTCCAGCATTGGCAGACCTGAATCCATCGGAGGCATGGGCAGCCCCACCCTCGAAAACGCCACCACTGATAACTATAGAACCGGACGGGCAATGTGGTCAGCCAATTGAACTAGGTAGGGGAGGCGTATTCTCTTGCATGAGTTGCTCTTATCACTGGATCACTCCATGACGTTTAATGGA